CGATTGTAGGCGCCCACAATACTGTTGATGTCAGAAGCATGGACGGTTTTACCGTGGTCTACCAGGTGCGGTAAATGCCCATGCCCACAACACTGTAGATCCCTAGATGCATGTGGGGGCCTTACCGTGTTTGCCGGGTATGGGAATTGATAGCGCCTACAATACTGTAGGGTAAATATCGGCGCCCTCAACACTGTTTGGGCTCTATCATACCTGGAAGGTTGCTGGGTACCCTTCTAATCTGTCTTGTCGATACTGTCCTACAGGTGCATAGGGTACGGTCCTTGGCGTTCGACTTTGAGCGCCCTGTCTTACTTGTTATGTCCGTTGCCTAGGTCCTTACCGAGCAGGTGTCCCCAGTCGGTTGGTTCCCTGTCGGCTTCGACTGCATCGGTCGGAGAAGACTCATAAGCAGAGGTTCGACGTATCTCCGGTCGGAGACGCGGGTCAGAGTCGAAAGCGATTTTGGCCAGGCCTCCCGGTCGGAGTCGGAAGCGAGCGACGTTCCTCTTGGGCCAGCCTTCGGTCGAGAGGCGAGCCAAGTTTGGAAGCAAGCGTTGTTCCTCCTTTGGCAGCCTTTTGGTCGGAGACCTGGTCTCCCTTGGCCTTTCGCTTAGGCTTTTTGCTCGCCTGGGAGTTTGTGCGTTGTTCGCAACATCGTCTTTTGGCCGAAGCGTTTGTTGGGAAGCTGGTCCACGAGGGACCCCGGGTTTATGAACCCGACAACGGGTTACAGCGGAGGGAAAGAGAAGAACGAGAGATAGCCAAAGGCCTTCGGGATCGCCATGTCCTTCTTATCCTCCATGCGCAGGCGTCGTCTGTCGATCATGGCGCTCCACTCCGTCCTAGTGGACGTCGTGGTAAACCGACGCGCGCTGTCGGTGTTGTTGACGAGGTTAGCGCGAAACAGCACCGTCACGCCCGACACTTTATTCCATATGTGAATCTCGGGTATGGCCTGGCCGTGGTGGCGCGTGTTACATCGGAGCGTGCCGGTCTCTTCCCTGGTGTCAGAGCTTTGACCCAGGCCCATACACTTGGACCTGGAGTGGTTGGTGGCGGCATAGGTCTACGTCGGGCGAGACAGAGTCTGCGACCTCGGGGTCGGGCGAGGCGGAGCGCAATCCTAAGGGTCGGGCGAGGTGGAGCTCGTGGCCTTGGGGTCGGGCGAGGTGGAGCGCAAACCTAAGAGTCGGGCGAGGCGGAGCCCGTGGCCTTGGGGTCGGACGAGGCGGAGCGCAAACCAAGGGGTTGGGACGAGACGGAGCGTAAACCCAAGGGTCGAGCGAGGCGGAGCCCGCGGCCTTAGTGTCGGGCGAGGTGGAGCCCTCCCCCAGAGGTCGGGCGAGGGGGGCGCAAACCCAAGGGTCGGACGAGGCGGAGCGCAAACCCAAGGGTCGGGCGAGGCGGAGCCCGCGGCCTCGGTGTCAGGCGAGGCGGAGTCCTTTCCTAGAGGCTCCCCAGAGGTCGGTCGAGGCGGAGCCCACGCGCCTATGGGTCGGTTGAAGCCGTAGTCACGCTCTTGACTGTTTGGATGAATTAATGTTAATGACCATTAGTCCATCCTCTTGGGTACCCGTATGGGTCCCCAATAGATTTCTTCTAGTAACCAATGTTTTTGACAACTCATGATCTATAATGCAAACTTCCTATTGATCTGCTTAATAGGAGGAAAAAGGAACATGCCTTCAAAGCATGTAGACTTGACAAGCTCTATTTCCTTCGAATCAAACTTCGAAACTACCTCATGAATTAATCTAACGGAACACCTGGACGCAAATGAGCCGCATTCAGGTCGTAGGTTATCCATTTGGCTCGTAAAACGATTCTGCGCTCAGAGAAATTAATAACACTTTTCCTACCTCTCAGTCGTCTATCTGCTCAAGAGATCTATCTACTGTAAGTCTTTGACTGTTCAGGAAACTAGCAATCACCTGTTCATCAAGAATACTAATAGTTACGACTATTGCCTAAAAATATACTATATTCTAGGCATATGAAATATAACAAATCCAAATAATAAACATAAATAATATATCAGATACCGATTTAAGAAAAGTAGAACATGGTCACAGAAAAAAACAAAACATAATATAAAAGGAATTTCTATTCATCGTTCTAACAATTATGTACGGGCTTGTTTGGCTCGCGTCCACAGTCGTGCCACAGTTTGCCGAAGATATGGCGACTGTCACAGCTGCTAGTTGAATTTTAACACCGTAGCTCGCCAAATATTAGGCGGTCGATTCGTCCGCCACATTTATGGTGCGGCCACAGTTGTGGCGTTGTTGGCAGCGGCGGCAGCCAAAGAGACCCGTACTTCCTAAGATTACTCTAAGAGGCAGAGGGGAAAAAAACATCAGCGGCAAAATTAAAGACGCAGTTAAAGACGCATTGAGTTAGGAGGGGAACATACGATACGAACAGAGGATTCAATATACTATTATTAAAGACTCAGTAAAGACGCAGTTAAAGACGCATTGAGTTAAATATACTATTATTACGATTTGTGTACTGAACTGCGCAGTTAGGTCAATGTCAACGGGGTTTTATTAGAGTTTCACGGACATTAAATATGCTGACGTGGCATAGTATTGATGAAGGGATAGATGATAAAAGTTTAATGGAAGTAGAGATAGTTTTATGGGGATGAAACTCTTCTACACTGTTTTTAAAATATGAATGTGTTGAAAACTGTGACATGAAATCCGCACTGAGACTGGCCTTAAAGACACATTGAGTTAGGAGGGGAACATTCGATACGAACGCAGTTAAAGACGCATTGAGTTAAAGACGCATTGAGTTAAATATATTATTATTACGATTTGTGTACTCACATGCATAGGCCAATTTCAATGGGGTTTTATTAGAGTTTTACTGACATTAAATATGTTGATGTGGTATAGTATCGACGAAGAGACATACTATAAAAGTTTAATGGAGGCAGAGCATATAGAACATACCAAATTGAATGTGGTGCCTGAACGGACAGCGAATATGTAGTGCACCAAAAAAAAAAGGACGCCCATAGATCTCGAGAGGTGTTTAGTTGGGAAGGTGAAAATTTTGGGTGTCATATCGAATGTGTCAGAAGGATGTCGGAAAAGATTTTTTAATACTAATAAAAAAACAAATTACAGAACCCATCAGAAAACTGCGAGACGAATCTAATGATACTAATTAATCGGTCATTAGCACATGTGGGTACTGTAGCACTTAAGACTTTTCATGGACTAATTAGGTTTAAAAGATTCGTCTCGCGATTTTGCCGAGAACTGTGCAATTAATTTTTTTTCGTCTACATTTAGTACTCCATACATATGTCCAAACATGCTTTTTCACTGTAGGAGGCAAAAAAAAAATTTAGAAACTAAACACGCCCTACCTAACGAGAAAAAATTCCGACAAGCTAAATTCATTAACAGCGGCAAAAATAGGGTCAAAATTAAGAAAAAAACAGGGTACATGTTAAACCACATATCCGTGTAGTGTCAGCAGGCCATCGCCGACGGCGGCTCCGTTTCCTTGAATTGCTTATTAGTCGTGAGTGATGGTACATTGTTTTTTTTTCTCATAACAAAACTGTATCAACCGGTTTATCAACCACAGAACAGCTCAGGCATGTGTGGATTTACAAATATGAAGACAAGACATTATTCGCCGTTGCCGGTCCCAATTACAGCCGACTGAAGCTCCTATCTCATGAGTGAAGCTGCGCTGCGATACACAGCTAAGTTCCACCTGCGAAATTACAAACCCTAGCAAGCGGAGGTGCTGAGAAAAAAGAGCTTGCATCTGGAGCTGTTCGGCTGATGGTTTTGTGATTGATAAGCCGACTGATACTGTTTTGTTGTGAGAGAAAAACACTGTACTATAGGGCCTGTTCGGTAGGATTGAAAAATAATGTTCCGGCTGATTGTTGTGAGAGAAAAATACTGTTCTGACAGGACATGAACAGTGATTCTGTGAGGTGGCTGGCCAGCCGGCAACCAGCCAGCCGAACACGCCCATAGCTGATAAGTTCAAGCGAACAATAAAAAGGTCCAGGGTCGATCGTGCCAGACAAACAGTACAGGCAATAAATGTACACTATGCAAACATAACGGACAAGAGTGGTTCGCCAGATGGTTTTTGTGGCTGATGAGACGGTTGATGCTGTTTCACTATGACAGAAAAATATCGTAGGCACACGGTACACTCCACAAATACTGTACAAACACTCCACAAACACTGTACAGGCAATAAAAATGTGCGCTATACAAAAACTGTACCATAGCCAGCTTCCTCCCCACTGTACCGGGAGAGGACGAGGATGCAACGGATGAGCCGCCACTGAGGAGGTCCAGCAGGCCGAGGGCCCAGAGCACACGTGTGTGAAACGACTAGCTATCTAGACTAGTGTATTCAAGCACTGCTATATATAGGCAATGGCTTACTTGTAGAAGGGATCAGCTATCAACATTGTAACAAAAAACTCTTATTGCTCTATATATAAACCAGACCTCGTCTAAACCTATCCCCTTCTTGCTATTCCACCTCAATTCTACTTATTTCTCCTATTGGTGCACTAACATTAAGGTGCTTAAATAAAAAATGAATCAAGTCCCGGTCTTCCCTCTCCGCCCTATCCTCGTTCAGCGTCACCGTCGTTCAGCGTCAATTTGGCCGGATCGAGCCCCTCCCTCTCCTCGTCGTCGAGTGATGGCCACCCCGGCTTCTTTAAGTCCCGGTCCCGATCCCGGCAGGAGAGCCCTCCGCAACACCGCTGTGCTTCGGCGCTGGCAGCGGCGGCGCGGCCGGGAGGAGGCAGCAGCTCCTGGGCTCCCGCGCGCGAGAGCCCGCGAAGCTGCACCAGCAGCAGGAGGAGCAGGCTGCGGCGATCATGGCGCCCAAGATCAAGGGAGACGTGGTTGGCAATTGGGAGGAGGTACCTGAGAAACATTTCCAGGAGACTAAGGGCGAAGCACAGGAGCGTCGGTAAGGGGTCGCTGACGTCATCCATGGCCGCCGTTGATGACGACACAGCCCGCGAGAGGGCCGAGGCCGTGGCCCGCGCCATCTCCTACTGCAAGGACACGCTCCGGCGGTCGTCGATGCCCCCGCCGCCGTCTCCCTCGCCTAGCCTTGACGACTGGCTCCTCGACGACAGAGACAGACAAGAGGTGAAGATCATCGCAAGCGCTGCTGAGCAGCACTGCGACGATTGCAGGACCAGGGACTCGCGGCCCTCGCCGACGCGTTCTCGCCGCGACCAGGACGCCGGCTGGCCCATCCGGGTGCAGACGATGGCGAAGCGATTCAAGGAGTCGCCATGCTCGTCCTCTCCAAGCCGGTACCGGGACGGTTCGCTCGCCGAGACCGCCGCCGTCGCGCACGGCGAGGAGTCACCGCATCACGGCCACGGTAGGTCTCTCTGCTAGCCACCCAGCACCGTCGGCTGGTGATTGGTGGGATGCCATGCAATGCAATGCGACGTCTATAGTCTAATGCGTTGGCTCTCCATTAATTTTGTACGTGCAGGTTGCCGTGGCGAGCCGATGAGCAGCTTGGACGAGTTGGAGTTTCTGAAAACATTCGATGGGGACGAGGAGATGATCAATCGCCATTTCATCACTGTGGAGATCCCAAGAAGCGGCTCTCGAGCGTTCAGGAAGCAGAGTCCGCTCGATACGAAAAGGAAGCGATTAGATATGAAAAGAAAAATTCGTGTCAGCGTAATAGAACCGACACTGAACGTATTCCAGGAGCTAGAGCTAGAGAATCAATCAGCGTAAGGCTCTGTTCGGTTATGCCGTTTCTGGACGTTCCTGGCCAGGAATGGTTCCGACGCTATAGAAAATATTGAAGAAACGGTAGGCCACGAATTGTGGTAACCGAACGAGGCCTAAGTAGTTTTCCTATCAATCTAACAAAGGCCTAAGAATTCTAGAGCTGGTCTAGCTCCAAAAATTCTTGGAGCTAGAGCTGTGGCATACTGAAGGTATTGAGTTAAGCTATTTTTATAGCATACTTTATTCTATCTTATGACTATAACATCAAATCATTCATGGATATCTAGGGCTGGAGGTATGCCAAACTTTCCTTTAATATAGCAGGCATTTGATATCTCTACGCTGTAGGTTATTAACTAATACCTTTTGATTAACAAAAAAATTTAAAGATATTTTCTCTAGTTATTATAATTTAAATTTATTTGTTGCACAACGATTATTCAAGCATTGCATAATTCATATGTCCTGTGTACAACTCAAACTTTTTGCTCCTTAAGCATTTCATTCCGGAAATCACGTTGACACCTCTCTCTTCACATTTTGCCGAGTTCGGGGAAGAAGAGCGCAATCGAAGGTGCCACGCAACCAACAACCTCAATCCCTACCCTCACCCAACATCGTATCCTAAGGGCATGGTGCTAGCTTTTTCATGGAATGCCATATCATCCATGGAGCTATATGTCTTCCCCCTAAGTGGGTCCTACAACACAACCAACAATCAAAGAAAACAAACTGCACTTAGGGATGAAAACGGGCAGAAATGGGTGGAAAAACTCCTCTCCTGTTTCTGTTTCTATATTTTTAGTAGAAACGGGATCGGGTTCGGGCGAAAAACGGAGTTAAAACGGATGGGGATATACGGAAATACGAAAACAAATAAATACGGACGCAAAGCCAAAAAATTAAGGTAGAATAACATGATCAAATATTCTCGAGTATACATGAACAAAGTCACAAAATAATATACACGTACGAAGTTATCGGGTCCAATACTCACTAACATGCCATGTGTTAACACGTTAACATGCATAATTGGTGATTAGTAGGTTTATGAACATATCAATTTCTAGACAATCTTACATAAATTGAAAACGGGGTGAAAACAGAACAAATACGGGTAAATTCTAGATGAAAACGGGATCCTGCGGAAACGAGCAGAAAAAACCGTCTCCGCGGAGCAAAGTAGAAACGGAACGAGATTATTTTTGTTCGTTTTCAACCTTAACTGCACTGCATCATCCTCTACCAGTTCCTCGCTCTATTTCCTATGTGCTGATGGTGATAGATGACAAGTGGGCCTGTTTAGTATCTCATTCAGTTAGATCTGGTATCTCAACTTGATTCGATGCTAGGAATCTTTTCTTAGCTTCTTTGTGGTGGAACGGTTAAACCCGAGCCTAGGAGCCAAAAAAAATTCCTCTTTTAAGGCATAGGTCATGTTTGGAATCATGATCTCTCACCACGCGGTGCGGTAGACGAACGACAGTGAGAGAGCTGTGATACGTAAAATTATGTCTGTAGTTTTTTTTTGTGGTGGTTGAGCAGTGATAACAAGAATCGAGTGGACCGCACAGTGATTCGTGAGATTCTCTGCTTCTCTCGACCGCCACCGCAAGATACGCGGTCCCAAACATGCCCATATGTTACACATGCCCTAATAGTGGAACCGTACCAGAGTCTCATTGAAAGACGCCGTCCCATAATCTCCAAGGTGGAAACCCATTCACCTTGAACTCTTGAAACGGAGAAAAAAATGCAATCCCTTGGCTATCATTGTAATTTAATTTCCCCAATACTTTGAGCAACAAAAGGAGATAAACCTCAACTGAAAAATATAATTCCCCACTAAAAAATACATGGTCGTACGTGAAGAATGACGTATCAATGCAAGATTGCGAATCATGCTCGCCCACAAATTCCAACCTTGACGCGTGTTGTTGTTATTGATTATGGAATGACAGTACGTGCTGCCATACTGGCTGCCATGGAACTGGGAAGGGGCCTTCCATATACACACGCCCGCCGGTGAACCATTCAGGCAAGAATGTCTGCCATCTGCCAATCTCCAGTCGGACGCGTCGTCGAGAATGATCACGACGTGAATATAAAGACACGCCACCATGCCATGAACAATGGCATGCATGCACCAATGCACACGCACACCTCCAACTCCATTTCCTACGAGAGCCACCAGCACGCACTCACTAGTCCCTTAGAGATAAACAGGTATGCATGTATGCTGTACGATCTCCGGATTGTAGAGACTGAGACCTTTTTCATTCACTTAATGAAATTTTCCCTTGTTCAAAAAAAAATGTATGCTGTACCCCATTTCCTGATACTGTTGTAGTTTGTTTAGTTGTTTTGTGATCAAATCTCCTGGTCTAGCACCAGGTTGTTGTACTCTATGTAAAGGCTGCACAGGGCTGTTCTGTGCATAGAAGATAACACGAAGCCGTCGTACTCTCAATATTCAGAGGCGACGTTCCTCCTACGTACGCTTTGCGCCTCTGATATTCTTACAGTCGCTGCCATGGATTGGCTGTTCCCGTACGCCGTGGGCACAACGACGGCGGCCACGCGGCCGCGACGCCTGCACCCTCCGAGTCTGACTGCCCGCCGTCGCCGTCGTGCCCGGTGTTCCGCGCGGGCGGCGCCGGCGCTAATAAGGAAACCGATTCGTGCTCCTCGCCATCGGCGTCCTCCTCGTCGTCGTCGAGCGCCGACGAATTCAGCTTCAGCACATCCGGGCAGCAGAGCCCGTCCAGCTCCGCACTGTGCTTCGGCGCAGGCGGCGCCGGGATGCGGCCGTGGACCTCCAACAAAGTCCTCTTGCGCGCGTCCAACAACGTCCATGCGGAGGAGGATGCGCAGCAGGCGGCGGCGAGCGTGGGAAATGTTTCGGTTGCGGCGAGCCTGGCGCCGAGGGGGCACGCGGGGGGAGGCACCTGCGGAGGATCTCCCGGCGGCTGAGGAAGGCCAGGGCCGCTAATAAGGAAACGCCGGCAGCGCCACGAAGGGGCGCCGTCGACGACGCGGCCCGCGAGCGCGCGGGAGGCCGTGGCGAGCGCCATCTCCCACTGCAAGGAGACACTCCGCCGCGGAGGAGGCGGCTACCCCCGCCGCTGTCCTCGCTGAGCCTTGTGGCTCAGCGACAGGCAGCACAAGATCATAGGTAGCGCCGCCGAGTCCGCGGCTGTCCTTCCGACTGCGCTTGCACGGCGCGCCCCATGCATGCAGTTGCCACTGCCACATATAGCTCCACCAGTGGCGGCGGCGGCAACTGGAACGCCGCAGTCACAAATCAGTGGTGTGGCTGATAGGATCGATGTGTATGTAGCTCTCTGTGTGTAACTGTAGATCCGTAGTAAGACTCATGTTCGGGTTCCTCTGCATGTCTTGCTGTAGCCTTCCGGAAGCCGGTGCTCGACACGGTGGTGAGGAGGCGAGGTGGTGGCGATGCTGTGGAACGGTGGAGACCCTGCAGGGGGAGCGACGGCGGTGGTGGGGCACATTCCGTCGCTGGCAGCACTCTTTAGGATCGGATTAGGGTTTTTCTTTAGGTGGGTGTGGCGGCTCCGGTCAACCTCGTTACCCGAGCCCTCATCCTCACCTTCTTTTTATGTGTGCTGTGCGACAGGGGCCCACCAACCAGATTAGGGTTGGGCTCCCCCGATCAGGGAGCAGAGATAAAGGCTCAATAGGCCGTTGTGGAGATCAACTAACATTCTCTCCCTTAATCTCATTCCATCTTTCACTTTCATATCATTTGCTTTTATTCATTACATTACAGATTAGCTCATAGAGCATGTCTCATCGTCACGGTCCATTGCCGATAGACTTAACAGCTACAACTCACTACTCTGTTCTGAAATAGATACTTATCTATGGGCCTTTTTTGTCCAGGAATTTTAGGCTTTCCCTTAAACTCATGCTAGCTACATGTTCTTTGAATACCATGTTCTCTGAACATATTGGGTGGTAAGCCTTTTGTAAGCGGATCCGCGAGCATCCTTTCTATACTTATATGCTCAAGACTTATGACTTAATCCTGGACTTTATCTTTCACAACATAATACTCTATGTCAATGTGTTTGACAGCACCACTTGACTTATGTTGTGAGCATACTGTACTGCCAGATTATAATCGTAGTATAACTTTAAGTGGTCTATAGATGTCGTCAACCACCTTCAAACCGGGTATGAACTTCGTTAGTTAGTTCACCTGCCCGTTGCCTCATAACACGCTACAAACTGTCATACATTGTGGACGATGTAGTGACAGTTTACTTTTAGCTTTTCCATAAAATAGCTCCCATTTGCGAGATGATAGAAAATCCACGTCTGGATATGCATTTACTCTCACATAATCAGAATCTGAATATCCCACCATGTGGAGTGAATCAGATCTTCTATATGTCATTATGAGGCCTTTCGTTCCTTGAAAATAATGCAAGACTTTCTTTACTAATTTCAGTGTTCTATTCCAGAATTGCTCTGGAATCTGCCAAGTAAAACCCGGTAACAAATGCCAAGTCAGGGTGCGTACATACTTGAGCATGTTGCAAGCTTTCGACAGCTGAAGCATATGGAACCACTTTTACTTTATCGATTGAGCTCATATTGGTTCCTGGGGCATTTAAAATCCCCATATCTGTCGCCCTTAACTATAGGAGCAGGTGAGGGACTATATTTGAGCATACTAAATTTCTTTAAGATCTTTTCCATTTATGCTTTTTGTGACAGTCATTATACCCTTTTCTTCTATCTCGATGAATCTCGATCCCTAGAACGAACGAGGCTTCGTCAAGATCTTTCATATCAAGTTTTGAGGATAAAACTTCTTTGTCTCCTATAGTAGACTGACATCACTACTAGCAAGTAAGATATCATCTACATATAGGACAAGGAAGATAAACTTTCCATTCTTAAACTTTGCATAGACACAATTATCCTCTACATTCTCTTTTAAAACCCAAAATTCTTTATTGACTGATCAAACTTCAAGTCCCACTGTTTTGAAGCTTGCTTTAATCCATAAATGGATTTCTTTAGGCGTCATCCCATTCGTTCTTTTCCTTTCATGACAAAACCTTTCGGTTGTGCCATGTAAACATTTTCCTCCAAGTCTCTGTTGAGAAAATGCGTTTTACATCCATATGATGTAATTCTTAATCGTAATGTGCCACTAATGCCATTATAATTCTAAAAAAAACTTTAAATGAGACTGGAGAAAATATCTCATTGTAATCAATCCCTTCTCCTTGCATAAAGCCTTTTGCCACAAGTCACGCTTTATATGTCTCTATATTCCCTTGAGAGTCAAGTTTTG